CCGAGTCACACTCTCTCAGTCTCAGAGGCTGGCAAAGGCAAACCCTCCCTGAAGAAACTTAACAAGAAAACCCCGTGAGAAGTTCTCCTTAGGGTCGCTATAAGTCGTAAACGAAGGCACACAGCACCGTATACACGGCAGTTTTTATACAACAATCTAGAAGCCCAAAAGGAAGCATTCAGGGCTCCCTCAGCGTCCTTACGTCACACCCCTGCGACCAACTGGGACCTTTTATCTGGCGGCGGCGCTTATAGACGTCACGAGAACGCACAATTGGCGGCAGTTTTGAATTGTTGGAGGCGCTCTTCTCCTTTGGGGCCATGTCGACCCTGGCCGCCTTCGGCAAGCTCCCGACGCTTAGCTCCGCCACCATTTTGGTACGTATATTGGCCATAGTGTTGTTGTTGTTATTGTGTGCCTTCAAGTCCCTTCTGACGTAATAGCGACTCTTATCATGACTCTTCTTGGCAGGTTTCTTCAGAGGGGGTTTGCCATTGCCTGCCTCTGAGGCTGAGAGAGTGTGACTTGGCCAAGGTTTCCTAGTGGGTTTCTATGCTCCAGTTGTGTGCCTTCAAGGCCTTTCTCACTTAATGGAGGCTCTTTTCTTGGCAGGTTTCTTCAGAGGGGGTTTGCCATTGCCTCCTCTGAGGCTGAGAGAGTGTGACTTGGCCAAGGTTTCCCAGTGGGTTTCTATGCTCCAGTTGTTGTGTGCCTTCAAGGCCTTTCTCATTTAATGGAGGCTCTTATCATGGCTCTTTTCTTGGTGGGCTTCTTTGACAGGGGTTTGCCATTGCCTTCCTCTGAGGCTGAGAGAGTGTGACTTGGCCAGGGTTTATTTATTATATTTATTTGTATCTCACTCTTTTCCCAGGACTGGGACTCAGAGCAGCTTCACAATATTAAAAAACAATACAATGAAAAGCATAGAAAAGAGGTGCATTGCAAAGGAATTACAGTTGCCCCTCCGTTTTCATGGGGTATCCATTCCATCTTCGCCCCCTCTCCCACGAAAATGAAAAATTGCAAATATTCAAGCCCCATTGGCTTTAATGGTTGTGCACTCCTGCATGTGTGCCATTTTCTGCCTTGATGTTTCCATGAAAGACTGAGGTATGCGAACGACAAGACTGTGAACACCAAGGGACAAGTGTAAATTATTACAATGTTAAAATAGATAGCTATTAAAAGAATAAAATACAGTTGCCCCTCCATTTTCATGGGGGATCTGTTCCGGAATCCTCTGCGAAAACAAAAACCTGTGCATATTCAAGCCCCATAGGCTTCGATGGATGTGTGGGGGACGCAGATCTGAAGTCCGCGAAAATGGAGAGGCGACTGTATGTTTAAAAAAGATAAAACTGTATACAACACTTTAAAATGAAACAACATCCCAGTGGTTTCCCAGTGGGTTTACATAGCCGAGTCAGCATTCGAACCGTGGTCTCCATAGTCTTAGTCATAGTGTTGCTATTCCAATTTTACTGCTCTGGCTGCTTCCTGTAGCATTTTGGGATTTGTAGTTCAGCAAACGGTCTGCCTGAGAATTCTTAGTGCCCCTCCCTCGACTGCAAATCCTAGAATGTCACAGGAGGCAGCCTGAGCACTAAAAGTGGAATAGCAGCACTATGAGAGTGTTGTGCGGTAATCTCTGCAGTCCAGCACTCAAACCACTGCACCGCACTGGCTCACTTTGGCCATACAGCAAAGTACGAAGCATCCAAGTAGTGTTAACCTTCATTCAGCCAACTCTTTGTGTATTTTGGTTGGTGTAATAAAGATATCCTTAGGTTTGCCATAAGTCAAAAATGACTTGGAGGCACACAAGAACGAAAGCATCATTGTTTCGTGGATGTGGGACTGTAGTGATTTGGGTTAAGAGAGGTGAGGCTCTGTGCTAGCCCATCAGCGCTGTAGTTACAGTCATTGAGTTGGTTTCTCATTGGTTCACTTTTTTATTTTAGTACAGTAATCAGATAAAGGTAAAAGTTTCCCCTTGACATGAATGTCTAGTTGTTTCTGACTGGGGAGTGGTGCTCATCTCCATTACTAAGCCAAAGAACCAGCATTGTCCAAGGACTACTCTGTGATCATGTGGCCAGCATGACTGCACAGAACGTTGTTTACCTTCCCACTGAAGTGGTACCTATTTATCTACTTGCATTTGCATGCTTTTGAACTGCTAGGCTGGGACTAGTGATGGGAGCCCACCCCATCATGGAGCACTTAGGCCTCAAACTGCCAACCTGCCGATCTATCTATCTATCTATCTGCACTATACACGCACGCACGCACACACACACACACAGTATAGTATACTGTAAATGAGCCAGTGTGCTGTAGTGATTTGAATGCTGGACTACAACTCCGGAGACGGGTTCGAATCCCGACTTGTCCGCGCATCAGAAATAATCTGCTTTTACCCCTCTTTAACTGCCTTGGCTCAATGCTAGGGAATTTTGGGAACTGTAGTTTTGTGAGACATTTAGCCTTCTCTGTCAGAAAGAACTGTCATGGGCCACAATAAACTAGAATTCCCAGGATTCCCTAACAATGAACTAGGGCAATTAAAGCGATCTCAAAACTGGATTATTTCTGCAGTGTGTTTTGGACCCCAGTTAGGAGGACGCTGTTACCTTTCCACAAAAGTGGTACCTATTTATCTACTTGCATTTGCATGCTTTCAAACTGCTAGGTTGGCAGAAGCTGGGACTAGTGATGGGAGCTCACTCCATCCTGCGGCATTTGGGCCTCAAACTGCCAACTTTATGACCTTACAATTGTCAGAACCGGCATCTTAACCACTAAGCCACCGCATAATCAGGATAGTAATAAGAAATAAACACAGTGGTTGGGGTCAATATCTCGCTCCCCTCATCGCAGGCATGCTTTTCCTCTTCACACCTGGTACCATTGTTGTTGTGTAGCTTCAAGTCATTTCCTACTTATGACAACCCTAAGGCAAACCTATCATGGGTTTTTCTTGGCATGTTTCTTGGGGGGGGGGGGTTAGCCAGTGCCTTCCTCTGATGTAGGGGATAAAATAATGTAAAAGAAACTACAAAGCACATGGCTAATGCAGGGCTGGATTGGATGATCCTTGGGGTCTCATATTCTGTGTTTAAAACTGTGCATTTGCAGAACAACTGTAAAAGGCTTTCAGTCTGGCTTCACTGAAAAGACTGTCTCAGAGCCAAAGCGATAGGAAAAGGAATGTTTGTTGATGTCAATTAGTAAGATTGATGGTTTGGAGTGGAAGGAAACTAAGGAGATAGGACCCATTTAGTGAGTCCAGGTGTTGATGAGTAATGCCAAAATAGTTCACGCATGGCAAGTAGAAGCTTAATATGTAATCAGTATCTTGTAACCAATGAATATGTTGAATTATGCATATGTTAATGTAATTATAAACTAGCTGTGTAAGATGGTATATAAGGATGTTGATTAGCCGAGGGAGGGGCTCTCAAGCCACAGGGCTAACCTGTCTGAGAGTCCGTCAACGTAAAATAAGCTCTACTTTCCTGGATAGTCCAAGGGTCTGTGTTCCTGTTTTATCCACTACACTGAGGCTGAGAGAGTGTGACTTGGCTAAGGTCACTCATTGGGTTTCCATGGCTGAGCAGGGAATTGAACCCTATCCTCCAGAGTCGTAATTCAACACTCGAACCACTATACCACGCTGGCTCTCACTGTTATGCATTTTAATTTTATTTTAATGTATTAAATTGTTATCATCATTATCATTATCATTATCATAAATTAACACCAAAGATTCCACCTAAACATTAGGAAAAAATTCCATCAGAGTTTCTGCTAGTGTAACACATTTCTTTTTATCTCAGGGGTGGCCACCTTTTCACTCCTGACTTTCCCAAACAGAGAAGCAGGTTTTTTTATCATAAGAGTTCACTCCCTCGGAGAGTGGTGGAGTCTCCTCCTTTGGAGGTTTTTAAACAGAGGCTGGAGGGCCATCTGTCACGGGTGCTTTGATTGTGTATTTCTGCATGGCAGAATGGGGTTGGACTGGATGGCCCTTGAGGTCTCTTCCAACTCTATGGTTCTGTGATTCTAATATAGTGCCATCTCTGTACATGGTGCTTTACCAGGAGAAAAACAAGAAAAACAAAACAATATTCTATCCTATTTCAAAATATCTCAAGGCAGATAAAAATCTATACTAAAGGTTAACAGATAAAATCCATACCAACAGTTAAAACAACTTAAAACAACAAAAAATAATTTGAATAGACTAAAACATTAAATAGATTAACAAGGTAAAACAGATATAATAGATTATATTAGGTCCAAAACACACTGCAGAAATAATCCTGTTTGAGATCTCTTTAACTCAGGGGTAGGCAACCTTTCCCCTTTAAGGGCCGAGGGACTTCAGCTCCCAGAAGCCTCAGCCACGTTGGCCAATAGTCCCATGTTGGCCAATAGCTCCTGGGATTCTGGGAGCTGAAGTCCCTTGGCCCTTAAAGGGGAAAGGTTGCCTACCCTTGCTTTAACTGCTCTGGCTTAGTGCTAGGGAATCCTGGGAATTGTAGTTTTTTGTGGCACCAGAGCTTTCTGACAGAGAAGGCTAAATGGTCTCACTAAACTACTGTTCCTAGAATTCCCTAGCATTGAGCCAGGGCAGTTAAAGCAGTCTCAAACTGGATTATTTCTGCAGTATGTTTTGGACCATTGTCTCAAGGCAGCAAAGGCCTGGATGCAGGTGAATAGACTGAGGCTTAATCCAGGTATGCTGCTGGTTAGAAGGAAGACAAGCCAGAGATTGGGAACACAGCCTGTTCTGGATGGGGTTGCTCTCCCTCTGAAACATCAGGTTTGTGGCTTGGGAGTGCTCTTGGACCCAGCACTGCTCCTGGAAAGCCAGGTTATTCCAGTGGCTAGGAGCACCTTTGCCCAGCTTTGGCTACTGCGCCAGCTGTGCCCTTTCTTGGGAAAGACAGATCTGGCCACAGTAGTTCATGCTTTAGATGCCGCCTGATTAGAATATTGTAATGCGCTTTATGTGGGGCTACCCTTAAAAAGTGTTCGGAAGCTGCAGCTAGTGCAAAATGCAACAGCCAGACTAGTGTCAGGTGTGCATTTTAGAGTCTTGCAAGAACTGTCCTGTCTTCCATTTTGCTTCTGAGCTCAATTTAAGGTGTTGATGTTGACCCACAAAGCCCTGAATGACTTGGGGCTAGGATATCTGAAATACCATCTCTTCTCTCCACTGCTGGTGGGCCTGTAATTATGCTAGAAAATACTGGAGGATGGTAAATGACACAATAGCATTGCATTGAATATCAGCCTACAAATGAAACCAGAATTTTATCTGTTAGGACTGTTAGAGGATAAATGGGAAAAAGAATTTGGTAAAATTTTATTTTATATGGTCTCAATAGCTAGAGTTACATATGCTCAAGAATGGAAAGTTAAAAACACCCCTCAACAGGAGGAATGGGTATTTAAACTATAGGCCTAAGCAGACTGCCAGAAATAGTGCACATTAAATTGAGGCACTGCCCTGGCTCAGTGCTAGGGAATCATGGGAACTGTATTTTTTTCTGGGACATTGAGCCTTCTCTGTCAGAGAGCTCTGGTGCCACAATAAATTACAGTTCCCATGATTCCCTAGCACTGAGCCAGGGCAGTGCCTCAATTTAATGTGCACTATTTTTGGCAGTCTGCTTAGCCCCTAAATGACACAATAGAGATTGGATAGATTGACTGAATTAATAAAATATAATTCATTAGAAAGAGTCAATAAGCGATGCTCTTATGGTTTTTAATTTTTTAAAAGAGCAATGGTGGGGGGACACAGTGGTATTGGTTTTTTCAAAATGATAAAAAAATGGAAAGTATATATGTTAATATATGTTGAAGGGAATAAAAGGCAATTGTTTGAGTATTATTTGTAAGTATAAGAGAACTGAGGCAGCCTTTATTGAAGGAAGAGCTAAAGAAAAAAGTAGACAGGTCCAAAAGACACTCAGAAATAATCCAGTTTGAGACTGCTTTAGCTGCCTTGGCTCAGTGCTAGGGAATCCTGGAAACTATAGTTTATTGTGGCACCAGAGTTCTCTGACAGAGAAGGCTAAATAGCTCACAAAACTAGTTCCCAGAATTCCCTAGCATTGAGCCAGGGCAGTTAAAGCTGTCTCAAACTGGATTATTTCTGCAGTATGTTTTGGACCTGAGTTAAACAAAAGTATATTAATGATGAAGAAAGTCATTTAGAAGCTAAAGAATGGAAAGATATTGGCAGAAAGGAAGTCTGATTGAATGAGGTAACTAGGGAAGGTAGATGCCTGCACAAGAAGGTATGTGAAAGTGGTGTGAGAAAGTGGAAAAAGTGGAATGAAGATGAAAGCAAAAGGGTAGGATAGGAAGGTTTAGGAGGAGAGATGTTAATCAAAGAAAATGAGAAAGGATGTGAGATGAATAGATGGGGAAAAGGATGAGAGAGTATTTTAAGGAGTTGTAGAGGATTGTAAATGAGAGTTCTGATCAGTGTAAGAAGAACATGAACTTGGGGAATTACTAATGTCCAAGTCTTCAGTGAGATCTTTTATCCTATGTTTATGGAGGTGGCCAGGGGAATATACAGATAAAGGCAAAGCTTTCCAATGAACTTGTGATTTATTTGGGGATTCTAACATACAAAGAAACTGTAATATTCACTCATACATGCAAGAACTCAGGAATAAAGTAGTTATCTTGGAGAGGAAACAGAAGGCTTTCTAATGGTGATAATTACCTGAAGGAGGCTGCTCTGACGATGAATGAAGATGGATAGACTCAACCATTATGAAAGGGAAAGGACAACTAAAAGAGCCGGGACCCCAGTCAGAGTTGACAGTGGTGCAGTGTCACCTTGAAATCTAACCAGACCCAATGTGCCTGAGATTTTGGGGATCTTTTATACCCTTAAACCTTGCCTGAGGTGAAGAGATGCTATTGTATATCAAAGGATTCCTGATTACTACTCTTTGAACAATTTCCAAGGAGAAGAGATGGGATGTTAATGTTATCTCATCTTCAGCCAGACACATCCTGGCTGGTGCTCATAAATCTCTTAGGTGCAAATGTCCTGCTTTGCAGCTCCTAGGCTTCCTTTTTTGATCTGCAAATTGTTGTAGGTGCATATGTGACCATTCAGGTGCCCCCGTGATGTGCTCGCCTTGGGTCCATGGCAGTTGGGCTTCTTCAGTCTAGAGCCATGGCAGGGACCCACAAAGGGGTTTTTATATTAAATCAATTATGGTGACATTAGGAATCAAATATATGTATAGATTAAGATGGATAGATAGATATGTATTGTGTTGTATCCATCTCTCTCTCTCTCTCTCTCTCTCTGTGTGCATGTATTAAGAAAAAGTAAAGAAAGACCATCTTGTCTCATATGAGTTTGCCAGAAATTTGAGCCCTGTTGCATGTCCCAACACTTCATGAAGTTAGATTAGTGATTACATGTTTTTCTGAAGTAGCGCCTTGACTGTGAAACTACCCCAGGAAATTAAGCTGGCCCCATCACATTTAAGCTTTTGCCAAGCAGCCGAAACAGTGCTGTTCCGCATGACGTTCAATGTTCAAAACTGCTGTTTTGACTGTTTTAGATTCTAGGATTGATTTTAGATTGCCTTTGGTTTTTAAAGCATATTTTAATATGTTTTTAAAATGTGTTTATCTCTGTAATGTTTTAATTGGTTTTTATTTGTTCATCACCTTGGGAAAACGAGCGTGTCCATAGGAGGGCAACTAAAATGGTGAAGGGTCTGGAAACCATGCCTTATGAGGAACGACTTAGGGAATTGGGTATGTTTAGCCTAGAGAAGAGACAAGATGATAGCCCTGTTAAAATATTTGAAGGGATGTCTGATTGAGGAGGGAGCTACGGTAGTTAGTTTTCTGCTGCACAAGAGAACAGGACCTGGAACAACGGATGCAAGCTACAGGAAAAGAGATTCCACCTCAACATTAGGAAGAACTTCGTGACAGTAAGGACTGTTTGACAGTGGAACATTCTTCCCTTGGAGAGTGATGGAGTCTCCTTCTTTGGAGGTCTTTAAACAGTGGCTTGATAGCCATCTGTGGAAGATGCTTTGATTTTGAGTTCCTACATGGCAGGGGTTTGGACTGGATAGCCCTTGTGGTCTCTTCCAACCCTATGATTCTATTATTCTAACCACTGTGGAAGGTGATACAGAAATACTGTAAATAAAATATGTAGTGGTGAATCAGAAAAAGTAAATGTATTTTTATCAGCTATGGGCTAATTTTCTCTCTTTCTCTTTTCCTAGTTGGTGGGAACAAATGATGTTTTCCAGCAGCAGCTGGCAGAGACAATTCTTAAGGAAAAACAAGATTTAAAAATAAACATGTAAGTGACAGAAAAAGAAACTTATTTTTTAAAAAATTGTCTGAAAGATAACAATTTTAGCTTTTATATCAGTTGTGAATTTCTGTGTAACATAAGTCCAAAACACACTGCAGAAATAATCCCATTTCAGAGCGCTTTAACTACTTTGACTCAATGCTAGGGAATTCTGGGAACTGCAGTTTTGTGGGACATTTAGCCTTCTCTGTCAGAGAGCTCTGGTGCCACAATAAACTACAATTTCCAGGATTCCCTAGCACTGAGACAGAGCAGTTAAAGCGATCTCAAACTGGATAATTTCTGAAGTGTA